ATAAGGAGCATAGGGTCTCAATTATATATGTGGAAAACGAATTTACACAAAAATGTTTAAAAAATAATGTGCACATTATCTTTCAGATGTATCACATAAACTACACATTCTACTCTCACAAGCTTTCAGAAATTGCCAATAATGCCAACTTTAATATTACCTCCTTAGCGGCCTCTGACATCTACAGACTCTATTAGGTAACTGTTCAATTCCAACTGTCCAGCATGTAGTTGCCTCTGTTTAAAAACACTTAATAGTACTTTAAATGTTTCAAGTGATGTATCTTAGTTTCGTTTATGTGACTTCTACAAGTTAATGGTAAATTGTATTTGTACTAGTTGAGAAGACACTCAACTCATTATTTTAGGTTGAATGTCATTCCTTCACACACTCCCAACACCCACACCAGTGGGTTAATCAACTACAAGTGTGAAGTCAATTTCAGTTCGTATATGTATGTGTTTATTCAAACAAAACACATTTAAACATGCTTCTGTGCTCAGTGGATGGCTGCAAACAACTTTTCTTAGTAATACACTTGACTTCATTTTGTCTGAATAAAATAAGGTCTCTTCAGTCAACCATACTGAGATCCAAAGGGTAGCATTTGCTCAGGGGTAAAGTTCAAAAAGCAGGAAGGGATTGGAAAGGACAAATGGAATGAAGAAACACAGGAAGAAGAGTGCATTGTAAGAATTGCAATCAATGTCCCACATGGTGTGTATATTGTTATGCAAAACCACTATGCTCTGCAGATGCTCACTCAAATCCCACAAAAAAAGTTGGAACTATAATTAGGGTCAGGAAACCTGAGACATTCAGATTCAACTCCCTTATGTGGACCAGAGAAGTAAACTTTTAGTTGGAATTTGGGTTCTCTGGCTTCTACCCAATGCTTCTGTAACTATACTAAGATTGATAAGTCATTCATTAACACAAAACCAGAACAAATTTCCAATTAAATTTTAAGTGCATCACATCAATGTATAGGAATCTGACAGTTACCTATGACTCACTAATCACTCCCAAAGTAATATATTAGGCTTTTACATATTTTATGAGGTAAAATGAGGAACTCAGTTTCTCCAATTTTGTTAAAATATCACATTTAAAAGTCTGAAATTAATAACAGCTGTCAATAAAGGCACTTCAGTAAAGAATTATGACTAAGCAAAGAACTTCCAGTTTTTATTAATTATTTAACAAGAAAAATATTTAACCAAATTTAAAAAATTAGGATGGATTAATTTACAATAAAATAATCAAAATAGAGTAGAGAATGCCCAAGTTCCCATTTAAACAGCAGAATTGGACAACCGATCATATTTATCTACACTTGATGACAGAAATTTCCAAGACCCTCCCCCGCTTTCACAAGAGTTCACCATTGCTTCTTAGGTCAGTACTCAGGTTTCTTAAAATAACCAGTTATATTTTGAACTATATCTCCAACTACTCTGAAAAAGAGAACACTTTTAAAACAATTCTCATAGAGAGCAAATATCTTTTAAGTAATTTTATAGCATGTTAGACTGCTGAAAGAAACTAAGGATGAAAATAATGTACAAAAATTATATTCTTTTATTTATAGAAACCACCCAAATAAAATATTTTCCCTAATTAATTATCCTTGCTTCTTGTAATCTGTTACCAGAGAGGAATTATAAGAAGCAGAATGCACCTTTTTTGGGGGGTATGTGTGTGCGCGTGTATGTGCGTGAATGGGGGGGGGGGGTTGTAGCTGCCAGTTTAAGAGTTTATAACGGTAATTGTAATGCAAAATTATGATTTACAAATTCTAGACTGAGGGAAAATACCTTTTAAAAGTGTTTGTCTGCTTTGTTTTCAAGTCAAAACAACAAAAAAATTCACAGCACTTTAAAGGATGGGGTCCATTCAAATAAAATTGTGGCTAATATTACTAGTACAATCCTAAAGTGTTACATATTAAGCAAGAGATTTGATAGTAACAGTCTATATAGTAAGCTGTTTGAGCACTTCAACAGATTATATACATGGTAGTCTTTAGAAAAGAGCATTTACTTTCACTCTTAAATTTGCAACATTTAACAAATATAAACAAACATGAATATATAATGTATGACAGCTGGCCAGGCACTTAACTTGGGGAAATATGCTTTCAGATTTTGAGGTAACTTACAATTATTTTCAGCGCTTACCAACATATTCTAAAAAGCAAACTTTTTATATACCACGCTAACGGAAGTTATCCAGCTTAAAAAAAACCCACCCAAACTGCAAGTTTGTCATCCTATTGTACCAAAACTCACACCTAAGCATAACTTCCTAAGTGAATAAAAGCACATTTCCATGCCTCAATTTTAGCGCCATCTTGATACTTCTGCGCTTAAAATGTACTCAAGAAAACCACAGGTAAATAGGAGGGCTATGGGCACAAGAGCCTGAGATGAATAACTATATCTCTTCTACTTAATGTAACATTACATTTCATAGACTTTTTAGGAAGAGTCAGGCTGCCAATCACACTTAAATACATTCTAGGAAATTATGACAGGTTGAGGTGCTAAGACCTCAACCTAGCCTCAGAAATATTAGAGCAGTGCTCCACAGGAAGAGAGACAATGCAGTGGGAGAGCTCACTGCCAGGTGATGACAGTACTGGGAGAGGTCCTGAATTCACACTTCGGAGCACACGTTTCTGGGTTTATGTGGGCCTGGGATAGTTGCTGCCCTCCTGAATTCCTTTCAATGTAACATGGAGTTTGCCTAACAAATGAGAATTCATACCAGAAGATGGCGGATCTCAGTAAGTATTTAGACATTGGAAGACCAGAACACAAAGTGACCATTTTGCAATTATTATTTTATCAAAGTTATTCAATTGTATTTTTAATTAGAATTACCAGGGTATTATCTGCAAAGGCAAAAACCAAGCTTCTAAATTCTTATAACTAATAATGAACTATATTTTATATTTCTTTTTCAAACTGCCATTTCAATTTTAAAATGCTTCTGTCTTGAACAAACACATCAGCTCTGGTTATCTGGTATGCATAGAATTTTTTTTTTTTTTTTTTTAATCCTGTCTTAAATCTTTGAAAAAATGCTAAGTATAAAGGAAAAACTTTAGTTTTTTATTCTCAACATATTTAATGAGAAAACATATTGGCTTAATTTAGTCTCAAGAAGTTAAAAAAACAGGCAAAATACTTTCTTTATAAACACTAGTAAACTGACCCTCCATAGAACACGAAGATTCTTCAGACATGGTGGAAGACAGGTGCTAAGTGACCTTTCGCCTTGCAGGGCCAACATCATGCAACTGGCAAAACCACTAGCTGGAGTCATTAGTGCCATGTGCAAATGTGAAAGAATTTCACTCTGTGTGATGTTAACTGGTTCATTCAAGTTTTGAAACTGTGACCCTGGTCTGTTAGCACCAGACTTGCCCAACCAATTAATCAAGTCCCCACTGCTATGGCCTGAGGGGCAGGAGACTGTGTAAGAAAGGACTGAGGGTAATAATTATATACATAGCTAAGATATCACAATATACAATGAAGATGTAGTATGTCTATCAATATACTGTATTTGAGGCTTCAAAATTACTGATTATAGCTATTAAACATAAATTTTTATATTTGAATACCTACAAATGTAGAGTTGTTTCATGTGATCCAAATTTGAATGTAAGTGGAAGTTTACTGGATATTAGATTATCAATAAGCTACAGGAAACAAATCACATATTTTTTTCTAGGTAGCAACGTAAAATGTAAAGATTAGGTAAAAACTGAGTGAAATTATTTATAACTAGTTCCAGTTTCATCTTTCTCCTTAAAAGAACCCAAAAATAGATCTCTGGAAAACCAACCTGATCCATGTAAGAAATGACATCTGCTATTACACAGGTGTATCTTTTCCTCAAAAGTAAGAGAGAGCACAGACTTCTCTCACATATTCATTTCCATATGTAATGGTTTTTGAGATCACTGAAGTGTTTTTAAAGTAAGTCAACAAACCAATTCTAGGAAAAAGGCACTTCATCATGAGAGCTGGATGTAATTACATGAGAGTCGAGAAGACGAGGATAGGCTCAAAGGTCAATATTCATTTTTGTGTATTTATGAATACAGAGCAGATGCCAGTTTATAGAATGCAGCCAATGTCACTACAAACAAACCAAATAGCAACATTAACTATATTCTCTGCAAATAGTAATTTATGACATTTCGCCAAAAACCAACATAATTCCAAGTTCAACAGTTAAAAAAAAAAAAAAAAAAAAATCACCAGCAGTTGCTACTTTAGAGCTCAAGACACTGTTTTCAATAGAATTTCATGTCTAGTTTGGTTCCCTGTTTCAGAGCATGATTTTCTTTTCAGATGAAAAACCAGGGATGACAGAGGTGTATGTGTGTGAGGGGAGAGAATCCAGGGAGAAAAAACACTAGGCAGTAATAAGAGGTTCATTTCTCTGGTCAGACAAACATGTGAGGAGGTAGTCTTCTGAGAACTTCTCAAAATGAGAATATTTAACTGATATACTGAGAATTGGGAAGTAGAGGAGCTTCTCCGTGAGACTAAAGACAGCAATGGGAATACTGCTCCTCCAAGGAAGTCAGGACCAGATGTCAGTGCAGCTGAAAGAAAGAAAGAATTCATTTAAGTGGCACACAGGGAGTATATGAAAGACAAGTTCAAACAAACAAACAAAAAAACTCAAACAGAATAATGTATTTTCGAACATGTCCTACCTTAAAAGTGGCTCTTTTCTGATGATAGAACTTTATCAATATCTGTAGAATAAATATATGCTTTAAAAACAGCTCAGACCTCATTACTCTTAGAGTGTGCAATTAAGAAAAATATTTTATAGTTTTAAGTGAGAAGATAACCCACCAGCCACTCCTTAGAAACCCTAAACAGGGTCACTATGAGTTGAAGCCAGCTCAATAGCACTTAACAACAACAAATAGGAGTATCATCATGTCAAGAGATCAAAATGCTTGTACCTTGTTACATCACCACACATGGCAACCCCAAACAACCTTGAGTTCCATCATCACTGCTGTTGAGTTTTTTCATTCGGTACTGACGTATTTCTCTTACCAGTGTGTAAAAGGCATCTTCAACGCCCTATAAAAGAAAAAATGAAAGAAAAAGCGTAAGTAATAGAAAATAATAAAGACAGCTCAACTGACACAATCTGAGTTGTAAGTTCTCTCATTTATTCTTCATATGGATTCTAAATTCCTATCACGAATTTAATAAAAATTTTAAGCTATTAAATTAATAGGAACTCGAAAAGCTCACTGCCTCTAAAAAACTTTAGCTGCTAAAATGGGGTAACTGAAGAAGAGAACACTATTTCAGCATCCTACCAAAGTTATTAATGTAATAATATACAAATGGCATATAGTGCCCCCCCCCCCAAAAAAAAAAAAAAAAATCATGCAAAGGAAAAAGAGTAATGTGGAACACAAGAATTATGAGATCCAACGATTCCATTTTAGGAAGGCTTACGCTGTAAATGGTAACTGATGTTAAGAGTTGGTGGAGAAAGGACTAATGTTTTTAACAAGGTTCTTCTTGGTAGAAATATGTATGTCTATTAATGTGGAAGTAAAAATGCCACACCATAACAACAAATTTCATTTCAAGCTTAAAGTAACGTATAATATTATTAAAAATCCTTAAGAACAGAATGTGGGTCATATTTCTAACAGAATCAAACCATCAACCTTTTTCTGCCTTAACAAACCCTTGCCCAGATGCTGAAAGATACCTGTCTGGTCTTCGCTGAGGTTTCAATGAATGGAATCCCATAACTCTTGGCCAGTTCATGCGCTTGTTTTGTGTCAACTGTCCTTGTTGGTAAATCACATTTGTTTCCTACCAGCACCATAGGTACATCATCTGAGTCTTTTACTCGTTTAATCTGTTCCCTAAAAAAGCAATGTTATCAGGAATTAAGAACAATTAAACTTTCAGGAAGGATGAACAGTTAAAGCAACAGGGTAACCCTGTTAGTTTCAATAATTGAATTTTACTTTTCCTATTAGTTATAATAATTAGGAGTCCTGGTGTGCTGCAGGATAATGCACTGGACTGCAAGGTTAAGTTTAAACCACAAGGTCGGCAGTTCAAACCCACCAGCCACTTCTTAAAACCGCTATACAGGGTCGCTATGGGTCGGAACCAACTCCATGGCACTTAACAAAAATTATAAAGAAGTCCTGGTGTGTGTGGCACTGTAGGACACGCACTGAACTACAAGGTCAGCTGTTCAAACTCACCAGTCATTCCTCAGAAACCCTATATAGGGTCGCTATGAGTCAAAACTGACTTGAGGGCACTTAACAACAACATGAGTTATAAAAGATCTTGTAAGCTAAGGAGATTTAGATTTGATGCAACAGACATAAAAAAGCCAAGTGGAAGTAGATGGCTATTCTATACAAGTCTGGCTAATTGTTTAGAAAAAAAAGAAAATTTACTCTTGATTTAACTGCCAAATTGCTCTTTAAAGTTTTAGAAGTAAAAACTCTAAATGCTCACTGTTTCTATATAACTTACTGAGGTTTCCTTTAAATGAGTTGTTGTTGTTAAGTGCCATCAAGTCTATTCCGACCCATAGCGACCCTGTATAGGGTTTCCAAGGAGCAGCTGGTGAGCTTGAACCACCGACCTTGCAGTTCAAACGGCTTTGCAGTCTGGCGCATTAACCCACAACACCACACCAGGACTCCTTAGAATGAGTAACAGTATTTAATAGAAACAGTCTACCCACTTCACTGGTAGTGGTGGTGGTGGTAGTGGTTATGTGCCGTGGAGTTGGTTCCGACTCATAGAGACCCTGTATAAAATTTCTGAGGCTGTAAATCTTTATGGGAGCAGAAAGCCTCATCTTTCTCCCGTGGAACCGCTGGTAGTTCAAATAGCTGAACCTTGAGATTAGCAGTCCAACTCGTAACCACTAAGCTATCAGAGTTTCCTTATCCACTTCTCTAGAAGGGTGGCATTCAACATTTTCTTCAAATGAAATTATAGTTCGAAGTCCAAGATACAAAATTTTAATTAGAATGGTTCTATTTAAAAGAGGACTGATGCATCTGGAATTCCCAACTGTTCCAACACCCTCTTTGATGACACGTAAGTCACAAGAGCATATCCACATTCTCTAGAATGGCTCTGTGCAACTGAAACATTCTAGATCTGTGCTGTCCAATACGGTAGTTTTTTGTCACCTGAGCACTTGGAATTGGTTTTTAAATTTAAATAAATTTAAATAGCAACATATGGTTTGCTGCCACTGTACTGCACAGCACACAGTTCAACTCTAACTAAGGATTACATACACAGTCACATAAATGAAGTGCATTACAATGGCCATCTTCAAAACTGCACTTTGGTATGATGGTAGCAAGCTATGTTAAGGGATACTGTAAGAGAGCCCAATGAACTTGAATCATGTCATTGTTAGGGAACTATTATCCTTTATATCAAACACCCTTCCTTAATGATCCATTAGAATAAGCCGCAGGGTCGGTGGTTTAAACCCACCAGCTGCTCCTCAAAAACCCTATACAGGGTCGCTCGTCAGAACAGAGTTAACGGCACTTAACAAAAAAGCTGTTTCCTTTAAAAAATTTTTTTCTCTTCACTTATTAAACTTGTTTTTAACTAAATTTACCTTCTAATTTCATATATTTTTACTAGATGCTTTAAAATCACCTGTGGTTTGAGGTATGGTAAAAAAGGGGAGCGTTGTGACTTTGTAGTTTAATAAGCACTAGACTGTGAACCACAGCTTTTTTTCCCCCCTTGATCCACAGCTTTTTGTTCTCGGAAAACCTATACAGGGCTGCTATGAGTCAGAGTGCCTCAAAGGTAGAGAACAACAACAACAAATAAAAATAAACGTGAATAATGCCTTGTAAGGAAGAAGAAAAATGACTTCCAAGAGTTCAATTCAATGAATATTTGTTGGGTGTTTGTCAATTTATTAGGTATTACTATTATTTGTAGAACAAGAAAATGGAAAATGGAGTAGGTTTAGGGGAGCAACACTGAATTCAGTTTGGGGCCAGTTACTTTCTGTGAGTAGACATCTTCATATGGATGGACAAAATGTCAGGTGACAAAGCTGGAGGCAGAACATTCACATAGCATTTACTATTTGAAGAGTAATGTTTAGAGTGATTTACATGTTGTTATTGTTAGGTGCTATCAGGTCCGTACTGACTCATAGTAACCCTATGCATAACAGAAAGAAACACTGTCCAGTCCTGTGCCAACCTGACAATCATTGCTATGTTTGAAACCATTGCTGCTACCACTGTGCCAATCCATCTCGTTGTGTGTGTGTGTCTTCCTCTTTTTCTCTGACCCTCCACTTTACCAAACATGGTAGCCTTCTCCAAGGACTGGTGATTTACATACATATTAATTCATTTAATATTTACAATCTTTATAAGGTTAAGTGTTATAAGCTGTACATTACAAATAAGGAAATGAAGGCACAAAGATTTAATAGTCTGCTCAAAAACCTATTAAATTACAAAGTCAAATTTCATCCCAAGCAGAATTCATGTTATTCTGCTAAAGATTTCTAAGCTAAGAAACAAAGTACCCTGGGTTTGGTCTAGAATCCGCTAATAATAATCACAACTCAAAAAACCTAGTTAACAAGTCAGTTTCTGAACTCTAGTTTCTAATTCTGTTGTACTAGAATTTTTGGTGGCCCAATCTAGCTTCGAAATGTGGTGGTTCTATGAGAGAGACCACCTTTATGTTTCTTTGCCCTGCTTTCATTTGTTTCTCATCATCTTTTCTATCACTTACGGAAAAACGTTTGAGTTTTCCCTCTGAAATGCCTTCGTGATTTCTATTACAGCACCATCAGTTCTTAATCTTTTCTAGTAGCAAGCTTCATGTATGTATTAACACATATACAAGCACTAGCATATCATGTAAAATAATTGCAGTATCAACTTTCAATAATAACCTGATTTTGAATGTCAAGCAACCTCAACGAACTCTTCCTGTAACAAAATAGTATCTTTCCCATTGTGGTATCCTCATTCATCAGAAAGCTTCAGAACATACTTAAAGATCATCTGTCCAGAAAAATAATGCCCCTAGTACCTGTAAAGGTTAATATCTGCAAATGATTTGCTGTTATTGATGGCAAACACACAGAGGAAGCCTTCGCCTGTCCTCATGTATTGGTCTCTCATGGCACTGTACTCCTCTTGTCCAGCTGTATCCAGTATGTCCAACAGACAGGTTTCACCATCTATTACCACCTGTTTTCGATATGAATCCTGGGGGCAGGGAAAGAGGGACATTCAATTTTTTATTAAAACCTCAAGAGAAGTTGTATTACTGACAAAATTCCTGGTATGCAACTCCATGTAGGTTTATCTGAGATTTACTCCTCAAACTGCTAATATACATTCACACTTAATGTCCCCCTAGGGAAAAACCCCCAAATTCTGTATGTCTGCAAAAAGGAAAATATGGTCAACTCTACTCCTGGAAAAATTTTTTAAAATCCCCCAAAACAGGGTAATTCAAAAGAGATATCTACTTCTGTGAAGAGACTACAGATTAAGTTCACAGTGAATTTTACTAAGTATTATCTAGACTATTCTTCTTTGAGCCTACCTTACAAATTTTAACCCTAACTCTAACGATAACCTCGTCCTGGTGACAGTGTCATTTATGTTTATGACTAAATACACATTTAACTTTTGTTTCCAGTTTTAACACTACATATTTTCTTGGAGAAATATTCCAGAATAAATTTTTGAAGGTTCTAAGCAAAAAAGTTAATTATTTAAGAAGATAAAACATGCATAGATCAGATAAGAAAAATTCTAACTGGCTCTAAACACAAAATTTTTGCTACTTATGTTTTGGGAATGAAATTCAAAGAAAACATCATACTTGGTAAAGGTCAGGCCCCAAAACAGAGTCTGACCAGTGTCCTGGTCCATTGCCCTTTCCTCTATGACTAACTTCATGATGTGACTCTAATTTATACTTGTATTACTCTTTCAAATCAACACAGAATTCACTTGAAAAAAACTTCCTTGAAGCAAAAATGGCTGTGTTATGAAAAAAATAAACAAAATTATAATTAAAAAGACAGATTTCAGCAAGACAGAGCTGTAGTAGTCAGATAAATATTTCCTAGTGGGAAGAAAGGAGTCACTGGCTCAAATGGAACATGAAGAGAACTCTCTGGGATAATGGAAATGTTCTTATTTTGATCTAGGTGGTGGTTACATAGATATGGTTGTTGGTGGTTATGTGCCGTGGAGTTGGTTCCAACTCAGTGACCCTATACAGGGTTTCAAGGCTGTAAATCTTTATGGGAGCAGAAAGTCTCATCTTTCTCCTGTGAACAGCTGGTAGTTTTGAACTTCTGACCTCATGGTTTGCAGCCCGATTCGTAACCACTACACTACCTGGCTCTGTACAATTAACATTAGACTGCCAACTACAAGGTTGGCAGTTCAAGCCCACCAGCTTGCCCCATGGGAGAAAGATTAGGCTTTCTGTGACTGCAAAGATTTGAAACTTCAGAAACCCTATACAGGATTATCCCTGTGAGTCAGAATCCACTTGGTAACTTTACAACAAATTAACATTGAATAAACAACAAATTTTATCACTTTTGATATTGCACTGAATTAACTGAAAAGTCATGGTTCAAATCCACCAGCCACTCCTTGGAAGCTCTATAGAGGGTTGCTATGAGTTGGTACTGACTCAACCTCACTTAACAACTATTGATACTGAAGCTCTTAAGCCTAAAATAAAAGAAATGGTGAAGGATTATAATCAATCTGTAATAGTGGATAGGTTAAAGTATTTGGCTGCTAACCAACAGGTTGGTGGTTTGAACCCATTAGCTGCTCCAAGGGTGAAAGTGTGGAAGTCTGCTCCCGTCAAGATTTACTGCGTTGGAGAACCAATGGGTCTGTTTAACTCTGTTTTATAGGGCTGTGTAGGATCACCACTGGTCTGTGACCCATCAAGTGAGCAGTTCAAATCTACCAGCTGCTCCTCAGAAACCCTGTACATGGTCACTATGAGTAGGAACCAACTTGATGGCACTTAACAGCAATACAGTTGCTAAGAGTCAGAATCAACTTGAACAGCAATGAGTGTGGTTTTTGTTTGCATTAACTCTCAGCAGGGAGGTGTTAGCGAGGCCAGAGTGCAGATAAGATCATGAAATAAAGTATGTAAGACGATCTCTAGAATTAGTTACTTTTAAATTAAATAAAATTATAAAACCTTTTATTTGAAGGGTTTTACAAGTCACAGAAACCAAGATGAATTCCCATGAAAAAGTTATTATTTATGCCGCGTTTCATCTGGGGTTGCCATGAGTCTGAACGGTTACGGCAACTGTTTAGTGTTATGTGCCCTCGAGTTATTTCTGACTCAGTGACCCTGTACAGGGATTCCAAGGGAGGGGCTGGTGAGTTTAAACTAGCCGTTGAGTTAGCAGCCCAGTGCTTTTCCTACAGTACCATGTCAGGACTCCTGCTTAGTGTTAACCATCTACAAATAACCTAAACATATTAACTGACTCCACTTTCACAACATCCTTGTGTAGTAGGTAGGCTACACTTATAATAGATGAGGAAAATGAGGCTCAGAGTTGTTAAGTGACTTGCTCGCATAACTATACAAATAGTACACAAGGACCTGAGCTCTAGGTATGTTGTTTTAAGTGCTGTTGAGTCTGTTCATGCACTCCAGTGCTTATCATACTGTGCCACACTAGGACTCTAGCTCAAAGTGACCCTGTATAGCATTTTCAAGGAGTGGCTGGTGGATTTGAACAACCAACTCTGCTGTTAGCAAGCAGTCCAGTGTTTATTCTATAGCACACCAGGATTCCAGTTCTAGTTATGTTGTCATGAAGTGCTGTCGAGTCGATTCCAACTTATACTGACTCTGTATAACAGGAGTGGGTATGTCTGGCCTTTAGGCTGTATGTTGTTGTTAAGTGCTGTCAAGTCAGTTCTGACACATAGCACCCTGTATAGGGTTTCCAAGGAGCAGTTGGTGAGCTTGAACCACCGACTTTGAAGTCCAGTGCAGTAACTCACAGTGCCACAACCAGGACTCCCTAGGCTGTATGATGGTGGTGGTTATGTGCTGTGGAGTCAGTTCTGACTCATAGTGACCCTGTATGGGGTTTCTGATGCTATAAATCTTTATGGGAGCAGAAAATGTCATCTTTCTCCCTTGAAATAGCTGGTAGTTTTGAACTGCTGAACCTGAGGTTAGCAGCCCAATCTGTAACCACTATGCTACCAGATCTCCTTCTTAGGCTGCACTGTTGTTGTTGTTAAGTGCTTCTGAGTCGGTTCCAACCCTTAGTGACCCTGTACAGGATTTGAGGAGAAGCTGGTGAGCTTGAACTGCTGACCTTGCAGTTCAAATGGCTTTGCAGCCTGGCGCATTAACTCACAGCACCACACCGGAGAAAATCATTTGGTCTGGCCCTGCAAAGTTAACTGCAGTTCCAGCCATGACCTATCACATTATGGGTGAATTAAATGTTTGACCAAATATAGCAGGCTAATTTTTAATTTGATAATTTTGTATGGCTCGTGAATGATGTTATACATTTTTGCAGAAAAAAAGGTTCTCCATGCCTACTGTTAGGGAATGGCTGGAGAATTTGAACCATCAACTTGGTGGTCCAGTGTTAATCCTACAGCACTACATCAGGACTCCAGTTCTAGCTACAGTAACTCAAATCTTAATTCTTTCTACTCCATCTCAGTCTCAGCTGCTTGAACTAGCCAGATTTCAGAATTCTTCATTTCTACCCTGCAATACGGAGTCCTAGTGTGGTACGGTGGGTTAATGCAAAACCATTTGAATTGCAAGGTCAGCAGTTCAAGCTCACTAGCTGATCCTTGGAAACCCTATACAGGGTCGCTACTGGTTGGAATTGACTCGACGGCACTTAACAACAATCCTACAATATAATCACACAGATAGTACTTCTACTTAGCTCTGCGTTTCTATTAGATAGAGCTGTCAAATATGAAGAAAAAACCCCAAGGCGTTCAACTCTGAATTTGAAACATTTTTCAGCTGTTAAAAACTGTATACTTCTGAGAGATTTTTCAACAGATAATAAAAATGAACATACAAAGCTACACCTACTGTGTTAACAAATGAGTATATCAAATAACTATTTTCTCTCCTACTTTTTCTGGTGTAGTGCTGCAGGATCAGCAGTAGACTGTTAACCACCCGCTCGTTGGAAACCTTATACAGATTACTATGATTCCGAACACATTCAATGGCATTTAACAGTTTCTTTAGCTGATAACGAACGAGCAGGACGTAAAATGAAAGCTAGGGTCAACAGATTGCCACTGGGCCTCACCTCTATGGTGGGATCATATTCATCTACGAAGTGGTTCTGGATTAGCTGGATTGTCAGTGCACTTTTCCCAACACCACCTGCTCCAACCACCACCAGTTTGTACTCAGTCATTTCACACCAGCAAGGACCTGGAAAATAGCAGTTAGGGGAAAGTGGCGAGCCACATCAGCTGTACTTCAAAGCTTTCAATAATCAATAGTTACTAAAAGCAGACTCTGAAATGTATCTGTTACATGCACGTGAACCTACACTTGGTTCTCAAGTGATACTGGTACGCACACACACCTGCAGGTTGGTGTGGGTAACAAGAACGTTAGATTCCAGTCCTTGGTGCTATCCCCCAGCCTCATCTGTTTTTCAAATCCTTGGGCCCCGCCCTCTACCTATGGTAAAGGAAACCCCCTTTATTCTTAACCCAAGGCAACAGCTAGTGGCGGCCTTTTAGGCCGCCCCACTTTTTACAAATCAGACTTAGCCCGCCAGCAGTCTCCAAAAACCTCCCAACGTAGGGCTTAAAACCAAGGAGCCCCACTCTGGGCCTTTGTCCGCACTCACTGATTCCGCTTGCTCCCTGCCCACTATGAGACGCCTCTAGGCTCAAAAGTTGAAAACCACGCACACCCAAGCCTTACCTCAAGCTCTGCTGTCTCCAAGTCAGCCGGATTCAGGACCACAAGCGGGAAAAATGCTGGAGACCCCGGAACCGCCATGAACAGCCCCCACCAGGGAGCGGCACTTCCGGCCCCGCCCGCTACGCCATCAGTAGGCGCCCAAGAGGGCGCCCAAGTCCCCGCCCCAGCCACGTGGGCCTCCGACAAAACAGTCACGCGGCAGGCCCCACCCCAAATCCACCCCTCCCCAAACAGGACGTTTCGATAATGAAAGCGCTGGGTGCTGTGGTTCTCAAAAATCAGTAAAACTTTATTCGCTTCCATTCTTTCGCCATTAACAGAAAACTGGAGAAAGCAAAAATGTTCTGTGTTTACAAAGATAAATGGCCTCTTTACCCAGAGATCAAAACCGCAAAAGACAAAGGGGAAGATAAAGCGCCCTCCCCCACACCCCCTGAGCTGAACCTATGATCTTAGACAAAGCTTTCAGTCCACTGGCCAGGGACCTGTATGTGACCAATTCAAGATGAGGGCCAAGTAATCAGACCAATCCATTCCCGTGATATTAGGTCGAACAGAAGTTACACCAAAGCTCCAGAACCTGTATTTTTCTTTTTACAGGACACAGGAACCAGGTGACTTACAATAAAAAAAACAAGATTCATTTCAGGCACAACTTTTTTTTTTTTTTATTATTTTTTTTAAATCAGTAAAAGAAACTGGGTCCTAGAAGCTGCAGTGATCTAAGCAGCAGCAAATTTGTGCATTCCTCCTTTGTTTTTGTTTAAATATGTTTAAATTATCACACTGCTTGCATACCTCATTTGCATGAAATTCTGCACCATACATACTAATTGTAGTAAAGTTACCCCCCCCCCCCAATCCCAGGGGAAAAAAAAAAATACTGCTACTCTGGAAGATAATTTTCATTGAACGCTAACCAAACTTCATTAAGTGGGCTGTGATAAGATTATAAATGATATGAAAAAATAATATTTTAACATTTGGCCATCAACTTAAGGAAATGGTTTGCCTACATAAATTTTTGTAAATTTTAAAAGGTAATATAGTCTACCCTTATATGGTCCTCAGAATTAAAGCATAATGAACAAGAAAGAAAAGGAAAAGAATGCAACCGAGTGCTAAGGCAGAACATTTTGCCAAACGTAATGAAGGTAGAGTAGACACTAAATTATCAAGTGCAGAATTTCACAGGGCCAACAAGGTAATGTCTATATCACTTACACAGGTGAGTGGATTTTGCAATTACCAGTTGCGTTAAATGCACCAAATAAAGCTCCTAAAATTGATACTAGAAGGCGCCACCTTAAGTTTTCCAGGCTGCAACTGTGCATAATTTTAAAATGGTTTTCTTAAATTTATTTATTTTTTTAAACATAACACGAGGAAGGTGTTAAAACTGGTGTAATAGCTCAATAGAATAAGTATTCCAGATTTTGGGAGGCATGAAGAGGGAGATATTCAGAACTCTTCACCAAAATCCCCCCAACTTGATCATAGTGGATTAAATGATGTGCTTGTGGATGTAATTAGTCAATGACACCAGCTTGACGGATTTTTCTTTCGGCACCAAATCCCTGTGAAGAAATAAAATTGCAGTTAGTGACCTGGGCACATGACAATCACAGTACCCTCACAATTCTAATAGTACAAAAATATTTTCAATCATCTTAACCACCACCAATTTTTTCAGAATAGAAAACCTACAGTAATCCCTTTGACCTCATTATTTAATCTTTATGTTCAAATTATCAAGAAATCGCAGCAACCATTATATATAGTCAATACTGAAGCTCTTTGTTTTTTTAAATTAAACTGGCTGATCTATAGTGAAATGAGTGACACCTCTGTAATCTGATGCTCTGTCAGCTGCCTCCCCCAAACTGGTATGCCCTCATACCATTGAGTTATCTGGTCCCCTTGGCTGACGAAGAACCATTAAGCGAGGAGCACTGGCATCATCCAGGGTGATGCTCTTCAAGCGATTGACCAACCGATCAGGTCTTGGAGCTGCAACAGCCTTGGGGCCTTCGCTGTAATAAAATCAACAGGTCAGAAGAAGCAACACTTGGTGGGAAGAAGGCAAATACTTGCAGAAGAATGTGTTTTCCACCTAACTACCCAAATGACTCACTTTTAATGAGGGGACTACTCTTGCCACATCTAGCCAGTTAGCAATACAGGATAGACAAGTTTGTATTTTTTTTCTCTCAACTCAGTTTATTACTGCGTAGGAGCTGGAAGAATCATTTGGGCGAGGGTCATCCCTAGACTTGTCTGAAACCAGAGAGACCAGTTCCACAGATGAATAAAACAAGGCAATGGATTTAAAGAACCTTAAAAACAAAACAACCAAATTTAAAGAAATATTTCTAGGGACTCAAAGCTCTTCTACTAGTAGCAATGGTACTGCAATTCTTTTTTTAAAGTTTATGAGTGAGGACTGCTAAACTATAAAATCAGAACCTAACCTAGAAATGGCTTAAGAAAAGGCGCGAGGAAGAATAGGAAAAGATCTGATATATACAAGTGCCCATATGTTTCACTGGGAGTATATAACCCTAAAGGTTAGATAATGACAACCACTAAATGTAAGAAATAACCATAGTGCAGGGGAAAATAAACAGTGAAGGAAAAGTAAGAAAAGTGATTAGGCAGAGAATAAACCCCAGAAGTTGTGAGTCAGTTCAGAGTGGTTACTGATCCAATAAAAATAAAACTCACCAGACTCGCCAAACATTACAGGCGCTACACTTGCCAGTGCGCTGATTAAGAATCACCGAGAATTCCACCTCATCTCCTGCCTGTAGCTCAATTCCATCCTGAACTTCTTTCACATGGAAAAAGAGCTTCTTGCTATCTCCTACTTCATAGTTAATGAAGCCAAACTGCAATTAAAAATTAAGTAGCTAAAATAATATATACAACAAAGTACTCTACTTTGAATGAAGCAAAATGCTTGACTGACTAATTAGGATTTATAAAACATGCTATTAATGCTAATATTCCAGCTCAGCTACCAAGGGCAGTTTATGGCGATGCTCTTCAAGCAAAGAACACCCTATGGGGCTGTAAATCATGTCAGGAAGACACTGTCTTTGAAATCACTGTAGGTGCTCCTTCACATATTAAGAACTATGTTTTTCAACTCATCAAAATTACTTGAACTATGGTGTCATTTTGACCTCCTACAGAATTATCAACAATGAGTCCTGGTGTGGTGTTGTGGAATAAACAGTGGACTGCTAAACTGCAAGGTTCAAATCATACCCCCACCCACACGTAGCCTCTCTAGTAAACCTTATGCAGGCTCAGAACTGACTCGATGGTACTTACCAACAAAGAATTATTAAACAAATAATAGCATAACAAACTGTTTTATTCACTGTATTGATTCTGAAAAATGTCTTCTCTGAGAACTCACAAGTACCTACCAGAGTTTTGTTTGCTCTATACTTAAATTTTATAAGCACCTCTAGTTAGTTAGCTGTGTCATGTACAAAAGTAGCTCTAAGCTAAAGCACTAAAAACTTTGTATTGTTTATATTCTGGAAATCTCACTAGACTAATTTTCCCTATCATGTATTGTCAATTATTAACAGCACTCTTATTTTCTCTTTGCCAATAATGTTACATGTTTTTTTGCTATCTAGGTATTTTTCATAAGCGACTTTAATTACAAAAAATGGGTAGAGATAAAAACCAAATGAATGCTAATGGTTCCCTCTTGGCTGAAAAAAAGATTTCATTACTACTTGGCCAAACAAAAACTCTTTAACTTGTAAAAAGATCAAACTGAGATCTTACCTGATCTTTCACACACTCCACTGTGGCCCTACGTAGGGGTGTGATATTGTAAGCCATAGTCTGTGCATTCTGGCCCAGGACACACAACTGGAACTTAACAGTCTCCCCTTTCTGCAGGCAATCCCCTTTGTTGGCCATCCCAACTATGCCAAATGGATACACCTCACCTTTCATATCCCCTGTAAGGAGAAGTAGTTATAAATATTCCACAGCAATCTTTAATATATTTATATAAATAACGGTTTCTAAAAACAGGTCATGTTCCTTAAAAATGTTACTGAGTGCTAACTACTGCCATGAAAAACACGACAAGTTGATATCTTAAGACAACCTACCTAGTTAATGAACGCTTTAAACTGTGTTTATTAATTTAAAAAGTAACACTAATACTGACAATCTCATTGAACATTTTAAGCACTATGGGTTGCTAATGTCATCTACTGGATTTTCTTCTCAAATTTACAATGTGAGTCAAACAGCCAAAAATATTTTTGCTCAATACCCAACCAACCATTAAAAAGCTAGCCAGGCAAAAACAAAGCAATGCAGAAATATTTATTTGGCATGTTACCTCCTTTTTTTGTTCTGATACTGCTTCTATAATCTTAATATCCCTATATCAGGGGTCAGCAAACTTTTTCTTACAGGCCCAGAGAATAAATATTTTAGGCT